CCATCGCGAGTGGCGTACAGTGTGTATCACTTTGACCAACGTCATTCAGGAGGTAGGTGCATTTTTGAGTATTCACATCAGTTCTGAGAGTTTCATCGTTCCTTCTCGAACATTACGGAAGATACGGGGGTGTTTCCATAAGAAGTGAGACAAATTCGGATTTTTCAGGACTGAAATTTTTTCAGGAAAATAGTGTATTCGTAGTAAGTTGGTAGTNATATACCACAGGTGAGGGAGGTAGTCCCAATTGTAGTTACCTGTGGTATATAAATGATAGGGTAAGATTCAATTTGTAGTATTCAAGTCACTGTTGAAGAAGCTACTGTGTTAGCGAAACATGTCGTGATATATTTTTCAGATAAAGTTTGTGGAGATCAGATCGTGAGGTGTAGTTTAGGAAAAAATAATTCATTTATGGCTGCATCCGTATATTTTGTCCATTCGAATATTAGGTCTGTGTTTACTGAACTTGACTGAGACCTGAGGTCTGAGACAGTTTTGAGTCCATATCTGCATTCGATAAAAATAATATTACATGTCTAGTTTCATTAGATTTCAGCAAAGATCCTGAAACTCTAGACCGTGATTAACTTAATCACTTTGGTTTGGATAAATATGCCGTAGATTTCCTGAAAAGCTTTTTGGAATATCAAACTCAGTAAATCAATCCAAATCTGCAGTTCTGGACACCAAAAATGAAGTTCTACAAGTGAAGTAAAGAGAATTGAAACTTTACCACTTTTATTTGTAACTCGTCCTATAATGACTTGTGTATGAGTTTGAAAATGTCCTTATAGGATGAAACTGCAGTAACGGCAGTTACAAATAAAAGTGATGGGAAACATAGAACATTTCAATTCTTTTCACTTCATTCATTTTTATTACTTGTTCTTTGTATTTACATTTTTTTTTAGATGAAATACGTCGATTTATTACTGTTATTATTATTATATATGCAGAGTCAGCAATATCCTGTATTATCGAGTGAGAATATCAGTTTCCACAACCAAGCCATTATGCAATCAGATAGCGGAATTTTGCAAATGAATCCGCTGCAGATGAAGAAAAAATTGCACGGAGCGCCGTGTTCAGTTTTTCCAGATCTACTGTTCTTGCAGTAGATCTTCTATATTGGCTCTTGAGCCACTATTCGAGAGTTCAGATTCACTTTTTGAAATATTTCTCAAATATTAATAGTGAAAATGTACGTTTACTTCAACAATGACTGTGTTATGTCCCGACGTCGTACTTCACGAACACAGTGGAAAAAAGTATATATCTGAGCTATTAACTCAACACTTCATTGCAAAAAATTGCAAATATAAGAGATTAGAGGAAACGCATACAACTCACTGAAGAGCTATCTCTCAAATCGTCAACAACAAGTCTGTATAGATGGTAACATTAGCGAAATAATGGTATGCCACAAGAAACTGTTCTTGGACCACTACTATTCACGCTTTACATCGATAGCTTATTATCAATGGATATAGAAGGATCTGTCCTTAGTTTTGCTGATGACACCGCCATATTTTATCAATCTGAAAATTGGATGACCCTCTAAAATTGAGTTGAACTGGATCTCATAAAAGTCAAGGGATGGTTCAGATACAATGAACTAACCTTCATTAAAGGAAAGACGAAATACCTTCTGTTCACTTCGTACGGAAAAAAACAAATATTGGTGATATTGTTGTTGAAACCATAATACCTGAAGAGAAATCGGTGAAATGTCTAGAAATAATTATTGATAGGCACCTAAGATGGGACTCACAAGCGAAACATATTTGTAACAAGTTAAGAGGTTTCCTTTCACGTTTCAAATACTTGTTTATTTTTCTCTGATGCAGTCTCAACTTTTGTACGGGATACTAGGTTGGGGAGAGGTACAAATTACCGTTACCTGAATGATATTGTCACTCACAATAATGAATGATTAGAATTATATATAATAAAAAATCATCTATTCGAGTGGTGTACTGTATAGAGAAAGTCAACGTTTCGACCCGAGACAACTCTTCTGTCTCAAAATCATGATCAGCATCCACATCTCATCCAACATGGTCATTGTACTCGAAGCAGAAAAAAAAAAGTTCATCGCCAAAATGTGAAAAAAGCATGAGGCAACGTAGTATTGAACTTTTGAGTCCAAAGTTATATAACATCCCACCAGGTCACTTGTTACTACTGGTTACTACATACTGAACGATTTATACTACACGACACAGTTAACAATAAATTACAAGAAATCACTCTCAAGTACTGAATAAGCTCAAGAGTTTTCTGAATTTTGTATTTTACTGTATGTTCTCTTCTGTTTGAAATCTGTTTAAAGTCTGTTTTTCCGTTAATCAGCTGTCGCCTCCTTACGAACGACTACTCTCAGAAGTCGAGAAACTTGTGTGAGCTAAGGACTAACGAGGTCTTACCTTTAAACGTCTGATTCCTAGTTATTATTATGTGATATCTAGTGCTTATCTACATATATAATTGTCCTTACTCTAATTTTTATAATATGTTAATGTAATATGTTCATTTTATTTCTATTTAACATTACCAATACTTTATATTGAAATAAATTAGTTGGATCACGTTTCAGCGTTTCAAAATTTCCTAAATTCAAGAAATCAAGGGTTCCGTTGACATAGTCCTTTCGATCAATAGCATCAATAAAGTTAGTGGAGATCAAATCGTTTAAGTGTAGTTTGTGAAATTACTATGGATCTTCATCAAGTAACGGCCGAATCAATCAGAAAACTTCTATTTGTATTTGGTGATTGAATATTGTATTTCATTTCAACAGGGAAACGCATAGGAATATTTCTAAGTTCGTCGACTCAGATAGTTTATTTATTTTTTCACGAGAAAGTGAGAGAGAAACTTTCAACTATATCACTCATGAATTGATTTACTGTTCAAAGGAGATTTTTCCTGAAAAAAGTGTTTGGCTGTCTATTTCTCCATCTATATACAAAAAATTGTGAAAAACTTTCGAAGAAAGGAAGTATTTCAATACAAATTTTCAAAATGAAATTGAATTCTACTGTTTTCATTCATTTCTCAAGAGGTTCACACAATTTCTGATGAGAAAATATACCCCTATTGAGAAATGCACCCCTTCCAATACAAATTATTACATTGAAAGCAAATGATAAACGTACTAGGCGGCAAGCAGGCTTCCTTTTATATTTTTTTTAACGGCACTGTCGCTTTTCCGCCGCTAATTGATGTTCCAATTATCCAAAAAATATATAATGGATAGAAATTCATTACGTGTTTACCAGCAGGTAGCTACTGGCTCATTTAGGATACATGCGTATTCTAAATTAATGTCTGCCACCTCCGTAGGAAATTTGAAAAAATGATGAGATATGTTACATTTACTATGATAAATATGATTTTATACATACCTTCAATTGTCCAAAAGCCAAAATCAGTACATTTTATCTCCAAGTTCTCTATAAAATCGAAATAAAAATAATATTTTCTGTAAATTTATTGTTCAACAATTTTGAGTTGGTAATAAATCTAGTCATATTCGTGAATCAACAACCACTTTTTTCCTTTAAGGCTGTCATTCAGTAACTCGCAAAAATTCAAAATGGTTGATATCGATCAAAAAATTCATGTTACCCCACCAGACATTACCGAGCAAGCAAATATTGCGATGAATAATTTGCTACCAGCAAAATCAAGATAAAAATACGAATATAATTTCGAAAATTTTATGAGTTGAAGAGAAAATAAAAACAACTTCGTTTTCCAAAAACGTTTTTCTTGTTTATTCCGAAGATTCAGCAAAAAGTTTCATCAAAAATGAACCCTAATAAAATAATTTGTAGGAAATATAATAATTTTTAAATCATTCAGTCGAGTTCTGACTGATTGATTGAATGAACTCATTATCCAAAGGCATGATCTCACACAAATATATTGTACAGTCCTTTCTACGGTCAGTCGTAGAAAAAGTATAGTACGCACCTCGAGGATAAGGCCAATTACGTCCACTCGCGAATTATCGCACTCGGCTTACGCTTCGTGCTTACAATTTTTCGCTCGTGGGTAATCGGCTTCTTATCCTACTCGTTACGTTATATACTATTGTTACACAAATGAACTGGAACACTGTCATTCGACGTGTGTTTCGCTTATCAAGTTGGTATCATTGGGACATGACTGAAACTTTTTTAATTAGCTCCGGATGATATCAGGTTGGCTAGCTGAATGAGTGTAAATTTTTTTTTTCATCCAATAGAACCTCATATATAACAAATACTATTGAAAAAATCATTCAAATCTTTCTTGGTCTCTATGAAAATACGAGTACCTGACCAAAACTTTTACCAAACTAAAACATATGTTTTACTGTGTAGTTATGAACTGTTTCGTGGGATTTCACACAATCAATTAAATACTAGTAGTGACCCACCCCGGCTTTGAATGGTTAGCGAAGCATCTGCAAAATATAGACATACACTATCGCGGACTTGTTTGAGGCCCCATGAAGGAGAAACAGTTCAACCATCTATCGTTTTGTAATATTTCCACGGGATTAGGCAGCATTTTCATAAAAGCATCAAGTCGGCTTGATTTTTCCTGACCGTAATATTCAGTATAAAAATAATGAACCAAAATCATACACCTTTTTTTCAAATGATTCCGTCCATAGGTGAAAAGCTTATCAATTTCTTTCGTAGTTTTGAGTTTATGATATTATGATAGAGCTGACCGATACTTTGACAATTATGACGCCCGAAGATGCTATTGTACAGCAAAACTCATATCACAGTTTCGCAAACTTTCAAACGGAAATTCCACATTGAAGTGTGTTTTTTGAATAATTCATGATAATTATATGGTGTTATAATAGAGATATATTTTTCTATGAAATTGAAGCCGGTATTCATTTCAAATTTCCATATCTACTCCATTCATTCCTTAATGCAAATATCACATCTCTATTCCTTCGCAATTTAGTTGTTCGGTTTAATTTTTTTCAGGTCGACGCATCCACTGGGATTACTTTATCTTACAATGGTATTTTGGAACAAACCTGCAACTTGGCCGAAGCTTTGCGGAGATGTGGAACTGGTCCAGATTCGATTAACGTAATTTGCAGCGAGAATAACTTGGAATATTTCATTCCAGTACTGGCTTGTTTATATCTGGGCTGCACTGTAGTTCCTATAAACCATCTCTATACGTCCTATGAGCTAGAATATAGTTTGGAATTAACGGAACCAAATATCATATTCTGCTCACAAGCAACTTTGAAAAATATCAGAAAGTGTGGAGAAAAATACCTCACAAAGTTAATAGTTATAGACAGTACTGATGATGTTCCTGGAACAATTACTTTGAAGGAGTTTGTGACTGAGCATCTCAACGGTATATCGGTGATGTCACAAGAGTTTCAACCATTCAATGCGTCCAATCCAGCAAAACATGTAGCATTCATCTTAAGTTCTTCTGGCACAACAGGCCTTCCGAAAGGAGTGATGATCACCCATGAGATGATACTAGTTAGGATTGCACAATCACGGTACTATTTTCAAAAGTATTCAAATAATTTTCATCCCTTTCTAATATCTCATTTGATGTTGAAATATTATTGCAGTTTTCAGCCTCCTCTGCAGTGATATTTTTTAGGCATCCTCTCATGATATCAACAACCGAACATAAGGTGAATCTTGGCATTTTACCATTCTTTCACGTCTACGGCATGTGCATTGGGATAACTTCAATCGTCAATAGAGAGATATTAGTCATTTTGAAAAGATTCGAACCCAATACGTTTCTGAAGGCCATTCAGGATTATAAAATAACGAGTATGTCTTTAGCACCTCCAATTATAAATTTTCTTGCGAAATCTCCATTATTAGATGACTATGATTTGTCTTCAGTTGATGAGGTTTACTGTGGGGGTGCTCCATTGAATGCTAGCCTGGGAGAAATTTCGATAAACAGGTCAGTATGAAAAGTTGTTGTTTTTGGTCAGTGTCAATTTTGTTCTTTGCGATTTATCTGGAAAATAATAATCTCAAAAATAAATTAATGAAAACCTCACAAGTATCTGGCTGTTATTGAAAATGGTGAACAATTTTTATTCCAAAGAAGTTTCCAAAAACCTGTCCATATTCATTTATTAAACTACAACTCGCGATTCAATCTACACAAACTTCATTTGAAAAATATATCACGACATGTTTCTCTAACACAGTAGCTTTATCGACAGTGATTTGAACTTTAATAACAGTGATTTCGAATCACTGTTGATGAAGCTACTGTCTTAGCGAAAAATGTCGTGATATATTTTTCAAATAAATAAATTGATGGATGTGGCCGTTACATAATGGACATTTTCAAACTTATACAATAAACTTATACAATAAAATTTATTGTATAAGTTTGAGAATGTCCATATAGGGCGAAACTGCAGTAAAGTTAGTTACATTTTCAAATAAAATTTGTGGAGATCAAATAGTGAGGTATAGTTTATGAAATTACTATGGATCCTCATCAAGTACCGGCCGAGTCAGTCAGTCAGTCCATATTCATTTATTTTTTTGAAAGACTGACCCCCCAATATTCATATCTAATCTATCTAATAGTACCTAATAATTTTCATAGACTGAAAATCAGGATGATAAGACAAATTTATGGCCTAACAGAGACAATAGCAATCACCATCAGCAATCCCATAGATGTATATAATCCTACTTCTTCCGGTAAAGTGGTGCCTTATATGAAAATAAAAATAGTGGACCAAGAATCGTTCGAAGTTTTGGGACCCAATCAATTGGGAGAGATACATGTTAAAGGACCTATCATGAAAGGCTACTACAAAAACGAACAAGCTACAAGGGACTCATTCAGTCCAGATGGATGGTTCAAAACCGGTGACTTGGGATATTACGACGAGGATGGATATTTGTTCAATGTGGATAGGTTGAAAGAAATGATAAAGTATAAGGCACACCAGGTATATTTCAATGTTGAATCATCGTTTATTGCTTAAGTGAAATTTCTTTCTTCAACAGGTTGCTCCAGCTGAGATTGAAGCCATCTTGATTAATCATCCTAGTGTCCTTGATGCTGGTGTTGTTGGTATTCCGGATGACGAGGCAGGAGAACTTCCATTGGCATTTGTTGTCAAACAGAGTGGGATTGATGTTACAGAAAGGGAGCTCCAAGAATATGTGTCTCGTGAGTTATAGTATATTCATCACTGGACTGAAATGATGTGAATCGTTTGGGCGAGTCATGGCCAATTTTTGCGGGTATAATATTACATTTTTTTATGACTCATGAAAAGAATATTTCAAAATGAGATTCATCTGTGAAGGATATCCGGAGATTTTTTATTTTTTTGAATTTCGAATAGTTCGAATGTTGAGTATTTGAGAAATTCAAGAAGAAAATTACAGGAACATGAACCTAGGAACAATGCACTCAAGTGCAGTATTCTCAATAAAACTTCAAGAAGTATCTCACGCAGCAGTGTGAAATGAGGCTATTCGAATTTTCAGTGAATCCCATTTTGTTATTTGGTTAAGAAGATTTGAAAAATATCAATTCTTCGACATTACAAATTCCTGGTCTCCATTTTCCGCATCCTTGTTTAACGTTTAAGAACATATTTTGAATATCATATCAAGAATAATTGGTACACAACTGTAAATTGTTCTCAACTGTGATGGACCTGGAAGTTGATGCTCTATGAATCTGATCCACTGTGTTCGGTTTGAAGATGTGAGTTATGGATCAGTTTGCTTGATTGTTCAACAAGGAACTTTCATATCACGCCTTCCTCAGTCTCAATAAAATGTAACTTCATTAATTTGATGGATGTAGCGGTTACTACGTGGTAGGAAATCATAGTGAAGAAAAGAGAATTGTTTTTACCACTTTCATTCGTAATTAACATTACTGCAGGACATTTTCAAACTTATACATTGAACCAACAATGATTGATTACATTAGTCCTCATGTAATGCCACTGTAGGTAATAATAGAGGTACTTAGCTTGATTGAGTACCTGAATTTTGTTTAGTAGTGACAATGTGGATATGCTAATTTGAAAATCAGTGAGTGAACTAAATCGAATTCATCATTTAACAGGTTACGCTTGCAATGTTCATGCTCATGAATTTCCAAGGATTCCAAATAATTGAGTTTGCAACCCTTCCGTTAAGATTCGGGAATTTGTGGTAGCATGCCAAGGAATTATTTGAAAACGTCGAATCATTTTTACCTAGTCTAAATAATCTTTCATGTTCAGCATACCGTTTTTGGAAATTTCGACCACATTGTCCCACATAAACACTATTACACTCTGGACACTTGAGCTTATAAACTCCAGGTTCCTCCAACTTGTCCACTTCATCTTTATCATTGAAAAAGAAATCAGATAACCTGGCATGTGGTCTGAATGCCACTTCCACATTGTTTTTTCTGAAGAAACCCGCAACTGCCTCTTCTTTTACCATATTATGTTAGAGTTACCCATCTCTTGATTTCTGATTGTTGATCTGGGAGTATATTAAACTGTAAGTGAATTTACGGCTTTGTTTTCTGACTAACTTCTGGATTGTATCTGCGTTTTAACCATTATTACGGCCTATAGGTATAATTATATCAATTTTCCTTGCTAGATTGTTAGCAGACAAAGACAGTGAGAATGCTCTGTGCAACATTGAATTGTAGGCTGCTAATTTATGACTGGATGGAAAAAAGCACTTGGTATGGTAATGTCTACATAGTTAGGTTTTCTGAAAACACTTAACTCAATTTCATTCTGATTGTGTGTAATGGTAAAGTCTAAGAAATTTATCTGTTTCTCTATCTCTGTTTCGAGTGTGAAGTGAATTTTCTTATTGAGTTGATTTATAAGTTTGAAAATGTCCTTATAGGATGCATTAACGTTAATTACAAATAAAAGGGGTAAAACACAGAAAATTCCAATTCTCATTTCTTTGTTACTTCATCAGACATTACAAATTTCAACTCATGATGAATTCTTTCAAAATTTGTATGAGAAATCTGTCTTGCTGTGAAGGATATAGGTTGGTGGAAACAAGCTGTTTTTTAAAGCATATGTTTTTAAATTCTGGACACTTGAGCTTATAAACTCCAGATTTCTCCAACTTGTCCACTTCATCTTTGTCATTGAAAAAGAAATCAGATAACCTGGCATGTGGTCTGAATGCCACTTCCACATTGTTTTTTCTGAAGAAACCCGCAATTGCCTCTTCTCTTACGATATTATGTTAGAGTTACCCATCTCTTGATTTCTGATTGTTGATCTGGGAGTATATTAAACTGTAAGTGAATTTACAGCTTTGTTTTCTGACTAACTTCTGGATTGTATCTGCGTTGTAATCATTATTACGGCCTATAGGTATAATTATATCAATTTTCCTTGATAGATTGTTAGCAGACAAAGACAGTGAGAATGCTCTGTGCAACATTGAATTGTAGGCTGCTAATTTATGACTGGATGAAAAAAAAACACTTGGGATGGTAATGTCTACATAGTTAGGTTTTCTGAAAACATTGAACTCAATTCCATTCTGATTGTGTGTAATGGTGAAGTCTAAGAAATTTATTTGTTTCTCTATCTCTGTTTCGAGTGTGAAGTGAATTTCATTATTGAGTTGATTTATAAGTTTGAAAATGTCTTTATAGGACGCATTAACGTTAATTACAAATAAAAGTGGTAAAACACATAGAAAATTCCAATTCTCTTTTCTTTGTTACTTCATTAGTCATTACAAATTTCAACTCATGATGAATTCTTTCAAAATTGGTACGAGAAATCTGTCTTGCTGTAAAGGATATAGGTTGGTGGAAACAAGCTGTTTTTTAAAGCATATGTTTTTAAATTTTCGTTTATATTGTCAAATTCTCTATTGCAAACTGCTGTAGTTCAAGTGGAAAGATAAAAAATGAAGCTCCATCCTGATTGAATTTTCAAGCAAATTCAAAAAACTCTTGAGTAACATCCAAGACTCATTGGGTAGACATATGAAGAACAACACGTCACAAAGGGACAAAGATAACATATCGGAGGTCTACAAATTGACATGTGGATCATGCTCAGAAGTTTATTGAGAAGGACTTCAAGAAATTTCATAACGAGAGAATCGCCAACATGAACTTAGGTTTGAGCTAAAGAAAACTATTTCTACCAATGCTCGCCATCTTTCAAAGAACAATCACGATTTCTACATGGCCTACGATATATCACATACAAAAAAACAAGGACAAAAGTTAAATATGTGGAAATCAACGAACGCAAATATTCAAATTTTCTTTGAAACGACATACAGGAAGTTATTCATTCTGCATCATTGAACTTGTTCTCATAAAATGTCATCAGTTGACATATTAGATGTTAACTATTCCACCAGATCTAATAATTTCTTTAATGATTGTTGTCATTACTTAATGACATTTATCTACTAGGGTTTTGACAAGAAATACCAATACTTCACTTGCTTTCTAGAAGTAATATCGTATTGTACCTAATTGTTCATTCAAAAATCTACCTGTTTTTTTCAGATTCATTCATTCATTTATATAATTATTATCGTATTTATTCAAAAATCTGTTTGTCAATAATATCTGTATATGATAAGTATTGACATTGAAGAATAATTTGATGCACCAGTAACTGATGAAGCTACCGTGTAGCAAAACGCGTATTGAACAAAATTTATTGTAAAAATTATATAATTATCATCATAGGTAATGAAGAAGCAACTGAAAAATGTTGGTAATATCCGTTCTGGTTTCTTCTGTTTCAATACGGATAACTCAACTAGTGAATTTTTTTGAACTGTTATTGAAGAGTGATTTCATGAGCTTTTTGTATTTATTACAGAAAAAGTGTCACCACAGAAACGACTCAGAGGTGGAATCATTTTTGTTTCTGCTATACCCAAGAGTACCAGTGGAAAAATATTACGCAAAGAACTGCGAAAAAAAATTGGTGAGCGTTAACCTTCGAGATTATGAGAAATTGAGCTGATATGATGTGACCAACTAGAGATTCATATTTTGTATTCATACTACATATATGTGTTTTACTGATATTTATATACGAGAGACATCATCAAAGAGGATAAATTATTTCGCTTCAATCAATATCTATGACAGAAACAAAATACAAGTGTGAAATTCTGAACAATTGTTTTTTTTATATACCTTGGAAATTATGTTTCTGTGAAAACATGATAACCTCCAAATAGAAAATGAAGATGTCCCGAATAAGTACTGTTTTCCTAGATGCCATTTAATTCGATTTGGAGTGAGGAAAATTTATTTTGTAAATAAAACAAACAATTAATTTCAACTCAAATATTTTTTTTTTGTTAAATGTTATGCGTTTCCTGGTAAGGACATTTTATACATTCCAGAGTTGGTGATTTAGAATAACATTTCTCATTATTACTACATTTCGATAGATACTAATTTCATGTGCACACGTGAGATTTAATGAACTCAGGTCGAAGCAACGTTCGATGAAATATTTTGAAAGAGCTGTTGAAAAATACCTTTGGAAAGGACATTGTTTTTCCACCACATTATATTTTCCATTTCGGTGATGAAGAAATTGAATGTAGCTACAAATAATTGCATTTCGAAAATATATTTTTGTGATAATGCATGTAGTTGATAGTATTTGATTTCAATTTTACGCTATTGAATTATTGAAAAACAACTGTGGAGGAAAAATCCAAAACATTTCCAAACACTAGGACTGTAACACTCTTCTAGACGCGCTTTTCACCAAACGAGTTGAGGTCTCCAGTAGGTGAATATAGATTGTTTAGGATTCATTTCATGCCAGAGGTTCAAGATTGAACTTTTCTTCTAATGTATAGTGGGTTGCATTCCACGTAAAATGAAAATGAAGCAAAAAAAGATTCATAACGAGTGAATATTACTGGATTTTTTCCCAACATCCAATCGTTATTGCAACACCTCGACACGTGTTTCGATCATCAAGTGATCATCTTCAATAGGAAGATCAAACAGTTTGATGTTTCTCTTGGAGATGATCACAAAATGAGTTAAAATAATCTTATGCATTTTTGTATCTCTCTGGAGATTCTTGCATTCTATATATGAAAAAAAAATATGATGAAAAACTGTATGCAGGTGTAGAAAAGAGTACTGCGACTCTGGTGATTTAGAAAAGTGTTTGTTTTGTATCTATTTTACGTCAGAGGTTTACCTTTTATTCACTAATTTAGAGAATTCACATTTTTTTTTAAGTTAGTATTAGGTGTCTTGTTGAAAAACAAATAGAAAACAGCACGGATGTTATATGGTGGCTAGATTCCATAAATATCCTTCAGATCCACATATGAAATGGGGCTCTAACGTAATACACATTTTCTGAATCTTATTGAAGCATCAGACTCCAACGAGTTTTGATTGCGAAATTACGAAAAATATTTCGTGAATTATGAGAAATCAACTTCGTGACTCGTTTGAGAAAACTTATTGTTGAGTAATGAATGGAAACATAAATATAAGTTTATTGTAGCAGTTAACATGTCTATTTTATATTTCATCAGTGAATGTTATGTAATGCTGAATTCATTAAGTTTTAAACTTGAAGTGAGTGGTGATGAGACCTATAATTGTTATGATCAACCAACGATTATCATTGAAAGTCTCAGTTATCATTTCATTTTTATAATGAGTGACATCGATCACAATAGTGCTACTTATGATCATTGCTAATTGGACTAGACGAGGAAATAATTCTGAGGACTATTCAAGAAAAGAAGTCACTCTTGTATAATTATTTCCGATTCATACGTAAATTTGATTTTTCTCAGGCGATCTGTTCTGACAAAGAATAAAACAGTAAAAGCTTTGAAATTCAATATCTTGTAGTTCAAAGAAATGAACTTCAAATGTTCAAGCCAGTCTGGGATATACCTACACAGTAGGTTGAATGGATTGACGTCTATCAGAAAACAACTACTCCCCTGACTAGAACCATGAACGGCGTTGGATTATATCCGACAAACGTCATTGCAGAAATCTTCACAGAAAATTTTCTCCATATGCAATTGACAATACAACTGGAGGAGTCGACCTTCAATTTTGGAAAGGGCACACTTGCAGACCGGTTTCGGGCTCATTATCCACTAGACAGTGCAAGATAGTGGCTATCATCGATCTAAAGTCAATAATATTTCCAGAGTGATTTACATTTTCTGAATAGTCAATTCAAATTTCCTTTGGAGGTAATGAGTTTGTATCAGAGCGGAAATATCCATTTAAAACATATTTACTGATTACTTACTTCCAATTTCTTAATAATGACACTTTCGGTTTTTCAAAATAGAGATACTTTATGTGATTATCCAACACATAACTGAAAGTTATAGTAATATTCCGAGTGCAACAAATAAAAAAATCTCTTTTGTTGCACACTACATCGTCCAGGGAAAATTTTTGATGAAAATTATTATTGATAACTTAAATGAATGTAATAACAAAGGCATTAATGATATAATAATAACTTTATTCACAACGTATACAGATTAGAGTACAATTGAAACAAAATATGTGAACAAAGTGGTTTGGCGATAAGAGCAGAGTTCTTGTTTCGCAAGAAGTTACAAAGAATATGTGAGTATATAAATATTTGTAAAAAAGTAAGTATGGCGTTCGTGAAGTAGAAACTACCAGATATTTCAATTAATTTTGTGAATTTGTTGTTATAGTTAAACAAATCATATGTCGGCTTGAAGTAAAAAAGGCCGATTGAATACTAGACAAACAAAAAATAAGAAAAGTAGATAAAACTTTGGACAAACATTACACGTTCAATAAGAATAAAATATGAATGTATAAATATATGAAATCTTAGGCAATATGGGTAAGATTATGCTAATTACAATGCAGTATGACACAACTTTGGGAAAAATTGAACTAAGACTAACTAATTTCACTCTGACAGATTTTTTTTATTTTCTATTCTTTTCGAGAATGTGGTTTCTTATTTGTTTTTTAAATATTGGTTTGGAATAAGAATTTTTTATTTTATGAGGCACAGTGTTATATAATTCTGTTGCCATGGAAGTATATGCTTTTTGTGAAATTGACTTTTTAACAGTAGGATAGGTTAGTTGATCGCCATGTCGTGTGTTATAGTCGTGGTTTCGTGATGAGGCATTATTTTTGCTGAAATGATACTTCACGTTTGTACTATAGTAATATGATGGTATCATGTCCATAACTTCACACTCTTTATACAGGAGATCTGACGAGAAGCGCGAATTTTTAGACACGATCAGCTTCATGAATCTCCTTTGTGATACCTCTAAGGGATTGAGGTGTACACGCAGAGCTGATTCCCATGCTGTTATACTATATTTCAAATGGCTCAGGGAACTTTCTCCAAAAAGAGGTATGAAGGCATATTCCTGTAATAAATTGATGGATGTAGCCACTACGTGGTAGGCAATCATAATGAAGAAAAGAGAAATGAAACTTTCTGTGTTTTCAGCACTTTTATTTGTAACTAACGTTAGTGCAGTTTGGCTCTATACGGACATTTTCAAACTTATACAATGAACTAACCTAAGACTAAGTTAGTTTATTGTATAAGTTTGAAAATGTCCGTATAGGACGAAACTGCAGTAACGTTAGTTACAAATAAAAGTGGTAAAAAATATAGAAAGTTTCATTTCTCTTTTCTTCAATATTCCTGTAAAATAAATTTGAATTTGAAACACGGGATGTACTTTTTGTAAATGTTGTGCTGAAACTATCACAATCTAAGGCAATCATTGTGTTACATTTTTTTCAGGTAACGCTTCCACTGACACCACTCTCTCTCTCTCTCTCTCAAAAACGATTTTGGAATGAACCCACTACTTGGTAAAAGCCTTGAGGAGATGTCCATCTGGTCCAGATTCAATAAACGCAATCTGCAGCAGAGATAGTTCAGAATATTGAAATACATTCCAGTATTAGCTTTCTAATATCTGGGCTGTACTCTAATTCATATGAACCATTAGTTTCTGTTCAAAATCTGCTTTAGGAAATTCAATGAAATGCCGATGAAACACCTTGCAAAGCTGAAAGTTACAGACATGAATTCTTCTCTTTCAAGACTAATTTCTTTGAGATAATTTGTAGCATAGCAGCATACATGACTAAAAGAATATTGGAAAGCGTAACCCCCATACGTTGAAAACATTTTGGAGAATTCAGATTATTGATGAATATACACGAGTAAAATTAAAACAGAGTGACTATGAAGCTTCTCAGTTTGGTAACTGATAACCTCCAATAGTTTTCTTTAACAAAATGGTGTGAAAAATCTCAATAATTCACGACAATTTGATTTTGAAGACAGAAAGCTCCAAATTATATCTTCACTGACAAGATAGTTAAGGCTTTCGCGGCCGAGGTTTACAATGTCACTATTTTCCGGGTTTGAAGGCCGTGCATTTTTTGAATTCCTTTCTACGTTTCGCTGCCATGAGTGGCTAGCTTCCTCAGAGGATAATACATCCTCAGTTGATATCTCATATGACTGGATATTACGGCTGCGTAACGCATATACATGTTAACCCCTCAGATAGGTTGGTGTGCAAATACCTGTATCTGGCTTAGGTAAATTATGTAAAGTATGTAACTGGATTTGGCAAATTATCAATAATGTTCGTTGACCATTTTCTACCTGCTGTCATGCTGTTTAATTTTCTTGAAATGCCTTAGAATAGTATTCTTTTTTCGATGGAGGATTACAGCTTCTTCTCTTCTGTTGAAATATTCCATGTGTTTGTGGATTTCAATTGCCCCCCGTGCCAGTCTGCTATGGTATTTCCAGTCGGGGCCAATGAGCTCCCTATTTTTCAGAGACAAAAGGGACCCACTATCAGCAGCAGGAGTCTATCGCATACCGTATACTTGTTCAAACCACCAAAAAATCCATGGAAATAAGGCTGAAGAACATAGAAAAAACTGCAGACTGAGCCAAACGGACAAGTTATCTGTAGCAGAACACGCATTCAGTGAGGAAACCACAGGATTTTATTTGAAAACATGGAACTCATTGCCTCCGACCAAAGATACCATAGTCGACTGGTACGGAAGGCAATAGAAATCCACAAACAGATGGATAATTTCAGCAGAAAAGAAGAAGCTGTG